TCTCCATGGTTTGTAGTAACAAGAAGCTATTAGGAACAAGTGCATCGCTAGTAGTAACAAGTGCCTTACTAGTAGTAACAAGAAGCCATGTCGAAACAAAAATCCGACTGAGTCGACAGAAATTATCTCCATGGTTCCCACAAGATCGGAAAACAGATTGTTGGCAGCTGCCCGGGCAGCACGTTGGCCAGTCGGGGCTCATCAATGGCTGAAGGCAGCGACAGCCGGTGGCCAGTTGATGAGAATGTGAGTGACCGTTCTGAGGCAACGGGGTCTTGTTCCCGTCGGAGTTAAGTTTCCTTAAACATCTAGGAACCAAATCGCTTCTAGGTTGGAGGCCATCGCTAATAGGTTGAAGGCCATGGCTATTAGTTTCCCTAAAAGCTAGGAACCAAATCATTAGTGCAAGGCGTGAGCTATCCTGCGTCCACATGTAGCGTCTCAGTGGAGCGTCCACCCTACTTAATTAAGTAGGCGCCTACCTACTGTAACTAAGTAGGAGCCTTAAAAAACATCATGCATGATTGAACCATTTCAACCCTCCCTTACTTCTGCTGGTGGCTGGGTGGCGAGCTTTTTGGAGAAAGTTGAACCAAAAGAACCAGTTCGGAAAGATGGTGACTTCCACTAAAGCGGAAAAAGTTTCGGTTTCGCCAAAGCCGGAATCCCCCAGCACATGGTTTCCCTTATTGCATCCAATCTTACTGCCTCGAATAGCACTCATGACATGCGCCTTCGTCACACCTGGTCACATGAGCTGCAGTTATTGGAATGGGAGGTCCACGGCCCGACCTTTAATATTGCAACTGCTAGATTGTAGCTTCAAGTTTGGGCTTTGTGACCGGCGCTTTCACACACTTGCTTGGCCGAGCACTGAATTCCAGTGTCCCGCACTCCCTGCTCCCTGCTGACATGAGTCGCCCTGAGTGTGAGAAGTTTCGACAAAACAGGTCCGATCAAGCAGGACAGCAGGACACCATGTGCCACCGTGCAACCTACCGGCATGTTGCCTTGCAGACCGAGCGTTTGCACGGTCCGATTCTTCCTCAAAGCCATTGGGCTCAAAGGATCCACTGTGCACATTGCAATGAAGATGGTTTAAAGACTCAAGACCCAAGACTGAACAAACCCTTGGGTCTTGAGTCAAGCTTCGATCTTCACAAACATGGGCTCAGTCCCCAGAAAGTCATCCAACTGCCAGGATGAAACTCTTGTCGAGGATTAGTGGCGAGCTCGCCGAACCAACAGATGCTTTTCGGAGACAGCTTTTGTCAAGCAACAAAAGTTATATATAGTTTCTTGAAAGAGTCTCTCGTGTTTTCATTGTGTAAGCAAGCTGGAATTGCGCTTCATCTCTTCATTTGGTGCAGTGGGTTTGGTATTGGAAAGCCAACCGTTATTTTGGTTCCTATGGCAAAGAAGCGGCCAGCAGCCACGCCAGCAAAAGCTGCAGGTGCACTCTTGCGGTGTTAACTTTGGACATCTTTGGACGATCTCAATTAGGAAGCCACCTTTTTGGATTCGATCGTCTAGCTTGGAGATGCGTCCACAGTCGTGATGTGTCTTGTTTTTTCGTGCCAGCTCGAAAGGGTTTCCTTGGAACATCATGGTGCGGTCAAAAGTCACCGCATTGGGTCCGTTCACGAGTTTACCGGTTCCGGTTCACCCCCCTAGGCCGCCTAGCAGATCCTTGCAGGCCGAAGAAAGAAGACCCTGGCCAAGCCGGCAATCAAAGGCAGATTCCAAATTCTGTTTGGCATTTTTGCATGAACCCAGCGCATCCTGGAGTTAATTCACTTCTGCCACAGACCATATGTGAACAGGCGCGAAGAAACCAGCTGCTTCGGCCAAAGCCAAGCAGCTAGGCGCTAGAGGCGAGATTTGCAGCACCTGGAACAAGGATCCGAACATGGGAAGATAAGAGAGGCGTGACAAATACAGAAGGGAATTTGGGTGGGTTCTGCAAGTGAATCTTCGACCTAGCTAGATGCCTTGAAGCATCAGGCCTTGATCTGAGTTCTCCTAATGGTATTACCAAGCCTCCGGAAGCTAAAGGTTTTTCAAACAGACACAGTTGACCTGACCCTGATTTTTCGCACATTTTGGACTGCCACCGCTACTGTAGGGCCGGCCAAAGTCGCCAAAGCTGCCAAAGCGGACAAAGTTGCCAAAACCAAGCAAAAGACTCCAAGAGGCAGGACACCTCAGACAAATCCACACTAGACAATCCGAAAACTCTGAAAAGCTGAATGCTCCAGTCGCCTTGCATGAGCCTGTAGAAAGGTGGATGGAGCGTCTTCGTCGTAGTGGTTCTGCAAAAAAAACTTGTGAGATTGTTGGTTGAATTATACAATTTACACAATCACATCTCTTCTGATATCTGCCAGATTAGATTGGGAACTGCTGCAACTGGTTGCAGGTGTGGTTTTGGCCTTGTCGAAGGAGATTGACTTCTCCAAACCGTTTAAGAAGGCCGTCCATATCCAAGCTTTTGTTTGGAGAGTCTTCAGGTGGTATGTTTGTCATACCCAAAACATATGAGCAGGGCATATGTTGCGACGTTGCAAGTGCCTCCGGGACAACAGTACATCGGGACAGTAGTACATGGGATGACAAAAGTAACTGCGACCTGGGCCCTTCGGCCGCGGAGTCTGCGACTAACTGTACCAGACCAATGTCTTATAACCTTTGTATATGAGTCTTGTGTCTTATGAACAGGAACAATTGCCATCTCCCTTTGGCTCAAGCTCAAGGCCGACCTGCGCAGGTGCTGTATGTGCTGAGGGGCCCTCCGGGCTGTGGGAAGAGCACCGTGGCGCGACTACTTCTTCAAAGACATCTCCAGGTGCAAGGGGTACGCCACACCCTTGGATGCCTTGAGACGCTACTAGGAGCAAGGACGCTACTAGGGGCTCCTGGCCTTACTGCTAGGAACCCTAGAGACGGCCTAGGATGCTACTAAGAGTTTGGGATCCTCGGAGATAAAAGCACAGCTCAGTTTTCCTAGAAGCGCCTAGGCCAGTTCGCAGCGTGTGCGGATGAGCTTTAGTGTTTTGAGACCACAGAAACTAAGCAAATCCATTGCTTCGTTGCCCTTCCTGCCCCATGCCAAGACCTGTTGAAGCGATCCTTTTTCCAAGGCTGGAACGGGTCTTCTGCAGGTTCGACTCCGGAGCAGGGATTTTGACCAGACAGGATAGGCGGCGTTTCAAAAGGATCAACTCACCTCTTCTCTATTCATGAACCCTAGTTGAGTCAACCAGCAGGGCGACTTAAAGTCAGTTCGTTGCCTTTTCTATTCGGAGCTTTATGAGATTTCGCAAGAACCTGACATCTTTCCAAGACACCAGTCTTGAGAGGAGTTGTCACACTCACGCGTTCCTTCAAGCTCCAAAGGTGCCGCCATCTCTACAGTCTGTCGAGCCTTCATTTGTTCCACGGACGACTACTTTACGGAGCTGGATGAGGAAGGAGGTGCGAAACAAGGAACTCCAGCTGCGTCAGTCCCTTTGCTGGTTCACCCAACATGCAGAGACCTCTGAGTGAGATTTAGCGGGTTAAAACACTCTCTTCATGATTCTTCATTCATTTGCTATGCACACTTGTTTCAGGAAGACTTTTCAAGATACTCATCTCATGTTTCAGGAAGTGAGAGAAATGCCTCGTTCTTGTGTCCGTGTCGACGCCGAGTGAGTTCCAGGTGCCAGCTATGACTTCGACCCCTCATGCCTGCGAGAGTTCCACGAGAAGAACCGAAAGCGTTGCCTGGACGCCATGGAGCCCCTTGGTTCCACCTTGGTTCTTATTCAAGAAGCAGACTGTGTATATATATATATATACAGGAAAAGAAAGGGATGAGAAAAGGAAGGTAAAGCACTCTTTAACAAGGTTATGTTTGAAGTTTGAATGAGCACTATTAAAAAGCCTTACCCTTCATTCTTCTCATCCCTCGAATGAGCTGCATGACTTTCTTCTTCTGGCTGACTTGAAACTCTGTACTCCGTTAGCCAGGTGTTGTGTGCATTCCTCTTTTATGGTTTGTCAACTCTCAACAATGGCATTCTCTTTGCAGTGAGGCTCAGCAGAAGCCCTTTGTTCGTGGACAACACCAACATGGCGGGCCTGATTGTTCTTTTTTGATTTGCCTCACCGGCTAGTTGCGTCCGTCTGTCTCTTCACGAAAGGTAGCCCTTTAGGGGATACCTTGAGTTTGTCTTGCGAAGCAAGTGTTGGGACGTCCGGGTCTAATAATTGATCGCTCAATTCAGACCCCCCCCA